CCCACGCCGAGAGCCCCCCCGCTCAGCAGCCTAGCGCTCCCCCCGCTCAGCAGCCCAGCGCTCCCCCTGCCCAGCAGCCTAGCGCTCCCCCTGCCCAGCAGCCCAGCGCTCCCCCCGCCCAGCAGCCCAGCGCTCCCCCTGCCCAGCAGCCTAGCGCTCCTCCGGCCAAGCAGCCCAGCGCCCCGGTCCAGAAGCCGGTTGCTAGCTCTTCTGCCAAGGAGAGCACCAGCTCGGCCCGCGCCACCAGCACCAGCGCTAAGGAGAGCGAGACCCAGGAGACCGAGAAGCCGGCCAAGCCCACTGCCTCCCACGTCACTCCCTCCAACCCTGGCTCTAAGCTCGCTGTTCCCGGCATGGGCGCCATCGGCACCCTCGCCCTGGGCCTGTTCATGCTGGCTTAGATTCTGACATGACCCTCTCTCACTCTTTCGTCCTTTTGGACTCGACTAAAGAGGGATGGTCCGGGATTATCTGCATCTCATAATAGTACTATACACGGGAAAAGTACCAGAAAACTCAAAAAAAGCCGTGAAAGGCACTGGCAATCCGAGGCGTCTGGTGTACATTTCTCTTGAGTCTTTGGCATTGCGTTTTTTTCCTATTTTGTTACATTCATTACTACTATTTTAATTGGCTTAATAAGAATATCTTTCCTTTGACAATGCTGTCTTCAATCAATCTATATAAACAGATCATTACCCAACGATAATCAAAATATACTGTACCTCATTCAACGACCCCGCCCGCCGATCAATACATACTGGATAAATATACAGTACTAGTTCTATCAAGTAGTCGAATCGGACGCAAATCCACCCCGAAGGATCGTCCGACGGGAGTTTCGGTCCCATTTCCAAGCCACACACATACGCATAAACTCGACAGGGTTTCTCATCCATCAAGGAATGAAGGTATTTCTATCTTTACGCAGGGCACTCCCTCTAGTACGCATGTGGCGACCCCCAAATCCTTCTAGGCATCCAACCCCGCTGCCTACGTATAGCGGAAGAGTCCAGCCGTGGGAAAGAAGGGTACGGCGATAGCTGAATGAAGTATCGAAAGACCGGGATTGTGGATGCCCTAGTGGCAATGAGGGTTAATACTCAGCTGGAACAGATATCGTTGCTTTTTTGACCGTTGGAGTAACCCCATATTCAGCGAGACAGTTTATGCTTGCCGATCTCTGCGAGACGGAGCGAGGAAAGGATAGACCCTAAGGGTTATAAATAGTGGGTGATATCTTCCTTTGCCCTCTATCTGCTGTTTTGAACAACATCCTTCAGACAAACATAGTAACATTACTCCTCCACTCAATAAAAAGCAAAACTCCTTCAACTTCTCACCAAAACCCACATCTACCCAACAAACGCAACCTACGAAATGAAGCTCACAACCGCCTCCGTCCTAACGCTCCTCACCCCTCTCACCGCCGCCAATTTCTGTCGAGACACAGAAGTCGCCATCGGCATTAACCTGAAGAATGAGCCTGCCATGATCGCCAATGACTGCGGTTTCTAAGTAAATCCCGCGAGCTTCGGGTGCGTAGCTTTTGAAAACTTGGTTGGCTCCTCTACGTTTGGACATATTCTTGGTTGTTGCAAGTGCCGTGACACATAATCCACCATACAATATAAATAGTAATAGCCTTAAGGCAATTCATAGTCCTCGGTTTATTTACCTACGTGGCATCTGTGCTCAAGGGCATAGAAATACAATGGGGTAAGCACCTTCAAACAACCAGGGCAGGAACTCTAACCAGTCTTCAATGGAAAAGTACGAGAGAAGAAGAAAGAGCAGCAAAGACAGGGTTTTCACAACAGAGAGCACTCAAGGAAGGTTATATAACAGTATATTAGAATGATAAACCAAAGACAACAAACTTAACCTGATCAAGCAATCCACAGGTTCGCCGTTTACACAAACAACAAAGAACCAGAACGATCACATAGAGGGTGAAAAAATGCAAAACTAACTGTTATTTGGCCGATTGCATCTTTCACAATTTTATATCTGTTATTATCTCTTCTTCTTCCTTTATTTCTTCTTTTTCTAAAGGAAGGCCAAGGCTCTGGGAATGATGACATTGCGGAACTATGAGACATGCAATTAGTTATATACCAGCCATCTGATAGAAATCCTCACTATTTTGACTTTGATCCCTTGCACTTTTTTAATAACTTCATACTGACCTATACCTTTTACTATGTTCATCGGTCATCCCACATATATTAAGACGCCTGGGCGAGGAAGGAATGATTCCTTCGATCCCGCTGATTCCTGTCGGAGAGTCGGAACTTAAAAGCGAGCGAGAGAGAGACAATACAATTTATAAATAGAGGCACAATGTCCCTCTGTTCTCGTTAACTGCCATCTTCAACGATTTCTTCCCAAGTTACTATAGTCAATACTACAACCACCTTCGCACTATCAACACGAAAAATATCTACACTCAAAAACCCACCTCTCCCTCTCTATGCCCAAGAACCAACCAAAATGAGACTCACAACGGCTTCCATCATCACCCTCCTCGTCCCCCTCGCCACCTGCATCTGCAAAGACACCGAAGTCGGCGTCGGCTACATCAACTACGAACACAAAGCAGACCGCAAGGGTGCCCTCATAGCCAACGACTGCAACGTCATCAACCATAGCAATACAGATAACTACTGCTACGGATGGGGCGAAACATACCAAGTGCATTGCGACGAAGACCACAGGAATGCCCAGTCCGTGACGATCAAAAAGCAGGGCAGGATTGACGAGTACCAGTGCGGCGATTATGTGACGGGAGAACAGTGTACTGGGGGAGTTGTAGTGGGGAAGTGCTGCAGGTTGTTGTAGGTTTAGGAGGGATCTGTTATTGTCATGATTATAATTTTACTTTCTGTCTTTCTTTCAGATATATGTTGTTTTCTGGCGGGGTTTTCTTCCCATGGAAGCATAACAGTCTGGGTATCATGATATTGTGGATTGTGAAATTGACAGACTTGTATCTAGACAATATGTCAGCTGTTACATATAAATATAGTGTTCTCTCACATACATTACTGTTTTGGCTCTTTCTTCAAAGCAACCTTTGACATTGTTTTCATATGCTCATAATCATAGGTATTGTCATATCTTCAGTGTTTTTTATCTGCCTCAGTTGATTAAGGTTACTTGCTCAGGGCACTCAGCTTTTCACTCACCCCATGCCCAGTAATTGCCTCAGGTTGCTCAGGGCGTGCCCAGGGCGCGTTCAGATGTACTCAGTGAGCAAAAGCCATGAAGGGTAAGCACTAAAACGCAGCGAAAGGTAAGCACTAAAATGGAAAGAGTAGGCCATGAGCCCTCCTAGAAAATCAAGCACATATGTTAATTTTCAGCAGCTGGCGGTGGACGGCGTGATAAAAAGGTGATGGTGCTAGATGGAAGAGCTCATTTGTTGTATATCCGATGGTGAGATCTATAATTAAGACTTTGGCTTATCAGGGATCTCAAAGGTGATGGTCACTGCTTTGGATGAATGTCTAATCATTGATACCATGGACAAAGTACAATTGGAACCTTGTCTTTTGATTAAGTGTGACTTCACTACAATCGGAAACACGCGCAGGCGATCACAATATCATCTTACCTTTATTGCCATGGAATGGAATCCCAAGTCTTGGCCAGATTGAAAGCGTGGAGTAAATTACTAGGCCATCGGGCCCCGCGGAACCCACCCAAAACTGGATAAGAGGCGGACCAACCAAACTAATTGAACTCTTGTCCATCCAACCTTCAGCCCTTCGGAATACAGTACTATCTGGCCCATGAGACCGCTATGTATAGCCTCATTCACTTTATTGATCTCCTTGCAGTGCTCTCCACTTTCTTTGTCTTGTACTCCGTCGTGACCCTTCTCCTCGACCGACGCAAAGCCAAAGCCCTCGGCTGTCAGCCGGTGCATGTGCAAAAGAATCGCCTCCCACTAGGATGGGATCTACTACAGAGGTTCAAAGCTGCAGATGCAGCTGGGACTCTTCCTGAAGATATGGCGAATCTATTCCGGGAAACAGGACACCGGACCTTCAAAGCAAGCATGCTAGGCTCGACCTTTCTCAATACGGTTGAACCGAAGAATATCCAGGCTTTGCTTGCTACGCAATTCAAAGACTTTGAACTTGGGGATCTGCGGAGGAAGACTTTTTTTCCTATGCTGGGGAATGGTATATTTACCGCTGATGGAAAGTATTGGTGCGTTTTACCCTGTGGGCTCTATAGTGAACTCTATAGATAGCAGGGACCGACTGACAGGTTGGATAGGGAGCATTCGAGAGCCATGATCAGGCCCCAGTTTGTACGCGATCAAATTTCCAATCTCGAATCGGAAGAAATACATGTACAGGAGCTTCTCCAGCATCTACCAGCCGATCCACATGGCTGGACCAGACCTATCAACCTCACTCCTCTGTTCTTCCGTCTGACCCTAGACTCTGCAACCGAGTTCCTCTTCGGAACAAGCGTGCATTCTCAGCGCCAGCAGACCACAGCAGATGACGATGACCAATTCGAATGGAAAGATCTCGCAGCAAGCTTCGACATCGGCACCAAGGTCCTCGGCGAACGCAGCCAACTCTTCGAATTCTACTGGCTACACAACCCGAAAATATTCCGCGATAGCATTAAAGAAGTGCATCGCTTCGCAGACTTTTGTGTGCAAAATGCACTCCAGCGGTTCCATGACCCAAAACAAGCTCCCACTGTATCGTCGACCTCTAAGCAGAGATACACCTTCCTCGACGAGCTGGTCAAGGTCACCCAGGATCCGATCGAGCTCCGCAGCCAACTCATGAATATGCTTCTCGCCGGACGAGACACAACAGCTAGTCTTCTAAGCTGGGCATTCTGGCTCCTTGCACGGCATCCAGTCGTATTCAACAAGCTTCGCATGGGTATTCTCGACAGTTTCGGCCCCTACGAGCGAACTGATAGAATATCGTTTAGTTCCCTAAAGTCCTGCGCTTATCTCCAATACGTGCTGAACGAGGTCCTACGTCTGTATCCCTCTGTCCCGATGAACAGTCGGCGAGCAGCTAAGGATACGACCCTTCCTGTTGGAGGAGGCAAAGACGGGATGTCACCCGTCTTTGTGAAAAAGGGCGAAGAGGTAGGGTATTACGTCTGTGTGATGCATCGAATGAAGGAGTTCTGGGGTCCGGACGCAGATGAGTTCAATCCTGATCGCTGGGCTAGTCGCAAGCACAACTGGGAGTATTTGCCGTTCAATGGAGGCCCGCGGATTTGCCTGGGGCAGCAGTTTGCTCTCACGGAGGCGGGATATGTTATTGTCAGGCTTTTGCAAAGGTTTGATCAGATGCGATTGGAAGATGGCTTTTCTGCGCCGCCGGCTCATCGGTTGGGCTTGACTGATGCTCCAAGGGATTATACTATCTATCTTCATGAGATGAAGTAAGATCGGGTGGTGCTGCCAGGTGATGATTGACGGTTTGTCTCTTTCTCAAAATTCTTTCTCCTGAATCTGGGCACTTTTGTTGTACCCTGTATCAGCATTGTTGAGTAGGTACTTGCTTTTAAGGATATATGATATTCTACTTCGTATCTTCGTATCAACAAATGAACGAACTTTCCACTTCCCACGTCTCTTTCCTCGCCACGTCGTCCAACCTTTCTCTCTGGCCGTCAACCAAGCCCCTCCCTCCGGCTTCTCTGCAAGAGCGTTCAGATGAACAAAAAAGCATATACATAACATCCGGCACATACTTCCCAGGTATAGCTCACGGGCTGTTTAGAGCAACGGCACAGTCTATAACTTTCAGAGCCCGGGCCGGGGGGAGGGGACTGGGTAATTTACTAGGATCCCTCAGCATATCCCATACCTCTTGCGAAAAATCAAAACCTATGTAACGCATAATCTGGTCTCCACCTTGTCAGTCCCAATGACTACAGATGAAGAGCGCTGACTGGAAAAAGTTGTTGAGGACAGTGACATAGCTGTGTAATAGCCCTGGCTGATACCTCGCCAACGCCCGCTGTCAATTCATCTACACGTCTCCTCCTTTGCAACCGGTACGGTGTGGAAGTTCGTCGTAGCGCGTCTGGTAGCAGAATCCTGCTAGGTCTGCTTGATCAGGTGAAGCTTCGGGATGCGTATAGTAGGTGATCATGGAGAATAGCGGCGGGAGGGGCGCCAAGGTTGAATAGACCATACGAGCAGCATGGTTGCTGTGGTCGGTAAAAGAAATCTTGTAGAGTGTGTTGCGTATGATCTGTTTAGGGCATTATTATGTGGTGTTGAATTGGACAGTGGGAGCAACTGCGGCAAATGTATATGTACAACAATTACAACTATCCATATCTATCTGAAAAAGTATTAACCCAACAACAAGCAAACAATATAAAAACAATGAAACGAAAGGTCACTCCCAATTCCTCCACTGACACGCACATCCCCCCGTCCCCCCATCAACACCCCCCCACCCCTTCAACAAATCCTCCCCCTTCCCCTTTGCCTTCCCCTTCGCAGCAGTAGAGTTCAAATTGAATATCCCCGGCGCAGGATTCACCAGTTCTCCCCCAAATGCGCGATCCTCAATCTGCAGCTTCTTCTCCGTGGCGTTAACATGCTGCGCCGTCTCCATCCCGTAGCAGTAGACCATTTTGCTCGCGGCATTGCCGCCATGTCTGTCAAGTGTTATGGTTACCGGGTAGGGGAAGGAGCCGGGGCGGGAGAAGTCTGTTGCTGAGGAGGATGAAGATGGGGATGTGTGGCTGGTCGTCGTGGATGGTGTTGCTGATGAAGAGGATGGAGCAGGGCTGCGGTCAAGAAGATGCCCTTTGCTGGGTTTTGTCCAAATCTGGACGAGAAACCGAGTCTGGGACCAGGTGCAGCGCACGCGCGCGTCGGCTTTGCTGGGTCCGCCGGGGGAGTCGCTGTCGGTGTCGTTTTTGGAACCCGTGAGGGCGGCGATCGAGTCGAGGAAGATGGAGCGGTCGAAGTAGGTGTAGAAGCCGTAGTGCTCGGTGTCTTGGCCGCGGTTGTAGAGGCGGACGGGCTGGGAGGATGGGAGGGGGTAGAGGGTTGCGGCTGCGGCTGTGCCGTCTGAGTCTGTGGAGGGGGAGGGGATGAGGGTTTCGATGTCTGGGAAGGGGTTGGTGTTGTCTTCATCTTCATTATCATCGTTTTTATTATCATCGTCAGCGTCGTGGGTTGTGTTGCTGTCTCTGCGGGAGAGCTGGGACTTGGGCTGGGTGGTTGAGAGCAGCGTTATGAAGAAGGGGGTTTCCTCGCCCGCGAATGGGACGCTGATTCCGTCTGTTGTATTGCCTAAGAAGGTTTGATCTTTCAAGCTGGGCGGAAGAGGAGACGGATTGAAAAGCTCGGCTGTGCCGCGCGAGCGGAGCTTATCTGACGGTGATGACGCGACAGTCGTGCTATTGGGATACGTCCCATTGCGGAAGCGGATCTCGACGCGAAAGTTAGGCTCGTCAGCCGCGTAAGGCTTGTTAGTCTCATGTTGCTCGTTTGGTAAAGCGCAGCTCCAGAGCGCGCTGGGGGTGATGCATCCCGAGTCCTGCTTGTGGGCTTCCGGGCCGGCGATCGTTGCGATGCCAGTGGGCATGGGCGGGTAGCCTGTGAGGTTGAGCCACTGGGACTGGATGGGTGTTGCGTCTCCTTTTCGAGTCAGGAGAATTGCAAGTAGGAGAGAGGCCAGGACAATGAGGACGAATAGGAACGCGATGACCATGTACCAGCGTCGTTTTAGGCGGTCTTCACGGCCGGAACGTCTGAAACAGCCTTTGTTGCTGACTGGGCCTCTTCCACGCCATAGGCGTCCGATTTTTCTGCCTGCGGTGTTTTCTTTTTCGTGTCGTTGCCGACGAGACTCGATTTTGTCTTGCCCTGTGGTTGAGTGTGTGGTGCTTGCTTCTCGCGTGATTGAATGGGGCCCTGGACGAGGGGGCAGTGAGACAGGGGTGCCGTGGCGGGAGATGTATGCAGGTGCTGGTCCCGTTGGCATCTCGCCGAGTGGGATGGAGCCATTGCCTTCTGTTTGCCGCTGGAATCCGGGTGAGATTGGATCGGGAGCTTGCGGCTGTGCTTGGTGATAGGGGGGAGCAACCACTATGTATTGGGGGCCGGGGTGCTGGCCAGGAGCTTGATAAAAGCCCGGTGCAGGTTGGATGTAGACAGGTTGGGCCGATTGGGTGGGTGGCATCTGGGGGTAGATTTGATTGACAGGAGCTTGGACAGGCTGGGCAGATGGGAAAGGCTGGACGGGTGGTGCAGATGGAAAAGGCGGGACAGGCTGGGCAGATGGGAAAGGCTGGACGGGCTGTGCAGATGGGAAAGACTGGACAGGCTGGGCAGTATCTGTAGTTAGGGCTAAAGGCACAGGATGTCCCTGCTTTTCAGACAGGTGTTCAGCTGGCGGCGATGACTGTCCAGCTTTGCTGGCTTCTGGTACAGGACTCGCAGCCCCAGGAACTTCTCGGGAGGCCTCTCGAGGACTATAGCCGTCCTTCGGCTGTTCTGGGGTCTTTGAAGTTTCCGAGCCAGCGGATGAATTGCCATCGACAACAGTCGGTTCGGGTTGCGCAACCACAGCAGCAGCAGCAGGAGGAGCCGTCAATCCCCTATCTTTGTGACCAGCCTGCGATATACTATCATCCACATCAACAAGCAAGTTCCTCTCATTGCTGCCAGGAGAATCCAGGGCAGTACCAGCCGCAAAGCCAGGAATAGCATCCTTGGGCGTAATCGAGCACACATGATTTATACACTCAAAGTAAGGCCTCCTGCTGAATAGCTCATGCGCACTAGCCTGGTAGTACTCCGCAGCCTCACCCTGCACCGTTTCCCCAAGGCCCATGAAACCCCCCGCACCCGGGGTATTCGCAGCAGGAGTCTCGGCTTTGCTAACATTGCTGGAATCGAAATCGGAGAATGGATTCCAGTCGTTCTTTTCCCAGCTCATAACCTCACCTCTATTGGCGACGGCCGTTTCGGGGGTTTCTGGGGAAAAGCATGAGATCTCTTTCTCTTTCTCCCACCACTCGTCGTCGCTGGACCCGGTCATGTCTGTAGCGATGGTTGGTATGGGGGGACGCTCGGTTTGCGTGGGTGTTTTCCGGCTGGTCATTGTGTTTGAACGTCCGAGTATTGGGGAAAGGAGGTATGTCCACCACCCTTGGGAGTAATGTTTGTTGACCTCCGACGTGGCGCTGTGCCGAGTGGCAGTCAGGCGGTGGAACGCCTTCTTTGCGCTTTCGTTGGAGTAAGACCGGGAGCGTCGCCCCGTACGCGGGCTGTCGTCGTCTTCGAAGACTGTTCCTGTGGAGTACGCGCGCTGTCTCCGCGCGGATGCAGTGGAGCGTCTCTGGCCCAACTCGGGACTCGTGGCCTCGTGACCAGGGGCTGCGTGGTGTGCGGGGATCGCAGGGACAGGAGGGATTCCGAGCCCGCTGATTTCGAGGAGTGGCGTAGGCTGAGAATACACACTGGATGTTGCTCTGGGACGCTGGTCCTGGGGTCGAAGGCTCCTCCAGAATCCTTCTTCTTTGGCTGGCGTTACGACGATCGAGGGCGTCAGTGGTGTGCGTAGACCGTCTGCGCTATCCAACTCTTTCGTCTTTTCGCGTTGCTCGCCGGACTCGTCGACCGGAAGGGTAAATCCGATCATGATGGGGCGATCCGAAGGGGACAGTTCATCTTTCTTATTCTTTCGCGGTGACATCTTGGATTTGATACCCCGCCAGGCAGACCCATCTCTAGACTGTCTAGTCAACAGCGCAGAGTCCTGATTAGCCCCATTCTTCAAGATCCCCTTAACCTTCCTCTCGTTCTCCCTCCTCTCAGAAAGCGCCTTCAAATCATTAAGATCCAAAAACGCCGGCGCCTTCCCACCACCGCGCTTCGTCGACGCCGCGCGAGAGAAATCCGTAACCAGATTCAACCCCACAGGTTTCTCCGCGCCTTTCTTTCTCCCACCAGACGTCAGGGAGTTCTCCCGCGAGCTCTCCTGCGCGAGGCCCACCGTGCTCCGCCTCTCATCTCCCGCACCAATCTCCGCCTGACGCGCAAACGGATTCCGGTCAGACACCTTCGCTAGAAAGGCATACGGGCGATTGCGCTCCAATTCGCGGTCATCCTCAGAGGAGCCCGTCGGGCTAGCGACTTCTTCCGTGATCGGGGAGGACAAAGGGAAGTTAGGAACGGTGGGGATCCGCAGTTCGTTGTGTACTGTCCGTGGCTTGGGGGCCATTTTTTAACCTGCTTCTGCTGGGTTATGCGTTAGTGTGTGACGGGGTGGATATTCGAAGCTGCAGACTTACAGTTCAGAGGGTGCAGGAAAGCTCGAGGTTGATTCAGGTCCAGCCGATATATTGCGAATTGAAGTTGGGAGAGGGGCTCTATTGAGCTAAACAATGCAACAAATAAGGCTGAAGCAAACACAGAGAAAAAGAAGATAGTTTCAGCTTCTGCAGACAAGTCATTGAGAGCTGAATGGACAGTTATGAATGAATGGGGTAGACAATGGCGTTTCTAGACAATGGCTGTTCAACACAAGCCACCACTTGTATCATTCACAGACGATGGACCAAACAAGGACAAGGACAACAAAGAGATG